AAAATCCTGTCTGGCAATGCTTTTGTCCCGGTTTCGGGGATTTTTTCTCTTCAACCCACATTACAAAGACACTGGATACGGATCCGTGCAGTGCTGCTACCTTTGGGTGTTTCAGTGAACTACATCCAATCTCGGGGTAACGCAGCACAGTCACCACTGCTCTTTTGTGATTCGTCAGACTGAAATATTTGAATGCCAATTGCGTTCGCTGATTCGGTTGCGTGCCGGGGCTTCGCCCGCCACTGGGGAGCGCCTGTATGTTGTTTTCAGCAGTCTTCGTGTTAACTTATGATGTGCTGTGGCGGTTAAGTTTTTATATTTGGAAAAAAATACACTTTAATCAACTTACAGCACTGTTCAAGTTTCAGAGTTACCTATGGTGACAGAATAATACAAGGCATGTTATTTAACTAAGTACTGTTTTTAAATTTCTCCGTTTCAGTGCTGCGATTGGCATCTTGGACATTTGTGCTGTGTATGTGGATGTATTGGCAAGCCTGCGCTGGAAATTCGGCACAAATCGGCTGTGTTTACATCCGGTTTAGAGCATTCAAAACGGTGCCGCCAATTGAGACTGCCGTCGCCTGTGAAGTTTGCGCTGTACCGGTAATTAGATTTTTAAGTGCTAAAGGTGTGAAAGCCATTTAAATTCATTGACAGATTAGTGAAGTGTATGGGGAGAAAATTATGAGTGGCGGAATGGTACCTACGCAGGTGGGTAAGGGCATTTAAAGATGGCCGCACCAACGTTCATGAGGAGCAACGCACAGGGTGGCCATCTATCAAATTGTCATGGTGATTTCCAGGATGTGAATCCGTTATCTTTGGAACCGGAGACTTACGCTGTACAACTACACCAGTCTAAATATGTGGAAAGATCAAGTTATTTGTTTATAGTTTATTGCCCCCACACAACTGGTAACAATAAAGTAGTTTCACATCTTTTTGTGGTAAAAAAATGTTAATACCATTACAGAATTAAATTAGTTATTTTTCCCCAACACCCATTAAACCTTAGATACATCGATTGCTCATATGTAGGAGCTTGAACAAAAACGATCATACTAGTTTGATGAGACACCGTGCTTGTCAGATCATGTGAAATGAGAAAGGCTACTATCTTACTAATGTTATAAATGTGGAAGTTTGTGTGTTTGTTTGTTCGTTTGTGTGTTTGAAGTTCAATCACATGTTAATTACTGGATGGATTGGGCTCAAATTTGGCATGATGATAGCTCACATTCACGATTAACATAGGTATAGGCATATTTTTATCTCAAAAATCCTTTTGGGCTCCGCCTTAGTGGCTCTAGAGTTTCCCATATTAACCTTATGAGTACTCATATTTAAATGGAATTAAAGAATTTAGTCAGCTGTTTCAACTAAAAAGGTTGGTTCTATGATATGCAAAGGCATTAAAAGTTATAAGATTTACTAACAGGATGCAGCACTATTACTTTTTTTTCATTTATGAAAACAGCTAATTTGAACTAAGCAGCAACAAAAAACTGTGATACACAATGATAACTGTCTGTTTACAGTTATGTTTATGTTTTTAATTTCACGAATAATTTGTGATATTTTGTGAATCTTTAATAATTAATTTTTTTCTTTTGTTTGGGTGAAGTGGTAGAACATTATGGCTATGGTAGATGAGTAATACCATAGTCATAGACAATAGAGTAAATATAGACTGTCAAAGAAAGGTTTTGCGATCTGCCGCTAGAGCTTTTTGCCATTCGATATCAGTTATCGGTATTCGATTCAGTGTCGTCGTCGACTACTCGCCAGCTGTTACCAGCACTACCACTCTTGCAAACGAAATGATTACTAATCGCTATTGTCGTCTTCTGCAATCGCGTCAAAATCATGAACATATACCGCGGCTGTGTAGACATCATCATTGAATGCCGTGGTCACGAAACGTCATCGTCGTCCTCGATTGCGGCAAAATTGTGAACATCTTCAGCGGCCGTATATACAATCGTCTTGCGCGATCGCAGAAAAGACGTGATCATTTTTCCCGTGGTCCGTGGTCACGAAAACGTCGTCTAGCACAGTCGCGGTTTAAGAACATCTCCCGCGGTCATGTAGACACATCATCGTCTTGCGCCATCATGGAAACGTGATCGTTGTCTAGCGCGATTGAGTAGCGGTAAATCATGAAATTTACCGACTTTGATATCAAAATAAAGACTAAATCCCAACTTTTCCAGACCATTTTGAAATTCAATACTAATACCTGACTTTCCCGTTTTCCCCGACTACTAGACATCCTGGTTAAATTTAATTTTGACCTTGCAAATATAAAACAAAACCTTCCAATAAACCACTTCCTAAAATTATGGATTAATAAAGAAAAACTTTGAATCATTGCAGGGCCGATTTACCGAATAGGCACGGTAGGCACGTGCCTAGGGCGCGAGGCGATTGGCTTTTTTGGGGGGCGCCATAAAATTGGAAAATAAAAAAATGGTGGCTATATTTGCACACGATCACGGTAAACTGGTAATCATCTCTCACGGTCGTTTGGAGATCGTCATTGTCTTTGGCAAATGAGGCAAAATTCTTATCTTTACCGTGGTTGAGTAGACATAATCATCGTCTTACGTGATTGCGGTAAAATTCTGATCATCCCTCGCAACTGTGTAGAGTAGACATCATTATTGTAACTCCCGCGATCCTGTAGACATCGTAGTAGTAGTCTCCCTCAGTCGTGAAGACATCACAATCGTATCTCGCTGACGGGAAGACATCGTAATCGTCTCCCGTGGTCGTGAAGACATCGTAATCGTCTCCAGCGGTCGTGAAGACATCGTAATCGTCTCCCGCGGTCGTGAAGACATCATAATCGTCTCCCGCGGTCGTGAAGACATCGTAATCGTCTCCCGCGGATGTAAAGACATCGTAATCGTCTCCCGCGGATGTAAAGACATCGTAATCGTCTCCTGCGGTCGTGAAGACATCGTAATCGTCTCCCGCGGATGTAAAGACATCGTAATCGTCTCCTGCGGTCGTGAAGACATCGTAATCGTCTCCCGCGGTCGAGAAGACATCATAATCGTCTCCCGCAATTATGGCAAAATGTTAATAAAATCTCGCAGTCATGTGGAGATCATTATCGTCTTCCATGATCGTGGTAAATTTCTGACTGTTTCCCACGGTTGTGTGGACATTATCTTCGTCTTCTGTGATCACGGCAATATTCTGATGATCCTTCACGCCTCTGTAGATCTTATTATCGTATTGCGCTATCGCGGTAAAATCATGATCATAACCTGCGGCCGTATAGAGATTTCATCGTCTCATGCGATTGCGGCAACATTCTGATCATCCTTCGAGGCTCTGTAGATCTCATTATCGTATTGCGAGATCGCGGTAAAACCATGATCATATTCCACGGTCGTTTAGACATTGTCATCGTCTCCAGCGATCGCGGCAAAGTTCTGATCATCCCTCGCGGCCTTGTTGAGACATAATATCGTCCCCCCCGGTCACGTAATCGTCACTGTTGTCATGTGCCATCGCTGTAAATTGACAATTCCAGGTAGGAATACAAAATTCACGCATAATTCCCGGTTCAAAAAATTCACGCTTAATTCCCGGAATTCCCGGATTTCCCGGTTGGTGGTCACCATGTTATATATATTGCAAAGGGGCGCTACTATTTTAGTTGTGCCTAGGGCGCTGACAAAGTCAAAAACGGGCCTGAATCATTGTAATGAAACTACAAAAGTATAACAAATATATCTTTAAAAAAAAAATACAATAAAAGATGGCATTTAAATTAATTTATTGCTTAATATAAAATAAGTCAATAAACTCCAATTCTGGGGGATTCCTCCAAAGTTGGCAACACTACTCCCAACTACCAAGTTGTTATGGAAACGGTCGCTAGCGCTTGATGCTGCAGCGGTGTGCGCCGTAACTACACATTACCCCTGGCGGTCGGCGCCGGAATATACGCTAACCGCAGCACAGCTGGCCACTCTACTCCTGCCCAGTATGGTCAGACCATCTAGCATATGATTTTATATGATGAAGCCGTACTTGGGCTACCGCTGTATGGTTTCATCATGACATGTATTTCAATCATTCACTGGGTTATAATTTGTATGTATTTGAATGGATACATTTAATTCTTAATTGATAAAAGACTATGAAAACCGTTTAGTGCTCTTTGGTGTTCTATAGTGCTATGGTGGACACAAGAGCGTAATCTGATTTGGTTCTACAGTACTTTACTTTACTTTAATTTTAATAGTAGCCTGCTGTTAGCAGGTTTGTGCTGTGCTGGGCAAGTGTGTGCAATATCCATGGAAAAATTATGTTGAATCCTCTCACCTTGTGCAAGGATCCTTTAAGTCAATCTCAATTTCTCTTGCAGCAAAGTCCAGGACGTAAATTAACCACCAAGCTAACAAGACACCCCTTTCTCTATTTAGTTCTGATAACAATTTTGAGTTATTGTTTATTTGTTTCAGGATATCATGACAGAAGAATGCAGAAGGGTTGCTCAGCTATTAACTTCGCCTTATAATCTTTATTTATTTCAATTGTGTTGTAAGAAGTATTTTTTAAACAGTAAAACTTTCTCCAATTCATAGACTACCTATTATGATTCATTGTTGTGTTTTATTAAGGTCCCTACCCTTATCTAAGAAATATTTTATAAACCAAAATGTTTAATGCTGCTCGCCTATTATTCTTGATGAAATATTAAAATACACTCCATTATTGAGCCTAATCATATTGATTTTCACCTTTTAAAAAAGTAAGTAACACAACCAAGACCACCAGATCCAAGATCACCAGTCCTTAAATAAAAGTACTTCATAATTATCCCAGTAAGACATAGGCTAATGGATTTCCAAATTCCTCCCTAGGAGTTTATCTGCATCCGGACAACCAAATTTTAAGATTATTGGGTCATTTCAAAAATTCGGTCTCATTTATGTCAATGGAAAATATTAGGGTCAAATAACACAGGGTTTCTTATCTAAAATTTTTATTATGATCTACCCATAAGGATGTTGAAGTACCATGGGTATATTGGTGAAAACAGCAACCAGGGAATCCAGGAAAAAATACTAAAGTGCTGATTTCTCACTCCCTACTACTGTCACTGGCTAGAGGTAAGTAACTTTCATAACCTCTTATTCGTGGAACATATATATTGGAAGCTTAAAACTGAGATATTATGGAACAATGTTATGTCTAGAATTAATATAAGCCTTTGAAAAATAAATTAGACTAATGCAAGTCAACTTTTTCGTTCGTTTCAAGTGTGTCACACAGTTTAATATCACTCCCTACAAAAAGTTCAATAATTATTTTCAACTGACAGAGAAGGGAAATTTTCATGCAGTTTCAGTGCTATTGGCAACCCTGATCTAATATGGCGTCTGTAAGGTTTGTTTCACTTTTCTAGACCATTCCATGTGAGATTTACTGAAGTCACTGGAAAGTCAAGTAAATGCGTGGTTTTTTTGACCCTCACTACCTACTCTTGATGCATTTTCGTACTGGTAAGTGAAATATAACTATACAATACACAATAAGTGCAGTTAATTGCTCATTTATTGATAACATTTCATAATAGCCAGTTTCTATTGTTGACTAGTCTGTAATGACCTTGAAAGGTAAAATCCTCACTCCCTACTCATTCACTCCCTACAATGTTCACTGATTTCTAAATTGTAGGGAGTGAAAATTTCTTGTAGGGAGTGAGATTTTTTGCAATTTTTGAATAAAATTGTTGATTAAATGTTGATAAAACGTATTTACAACTTGTGTATTTCCATTTACCGGCTTAGTTAATTAGGCCTATGAAAAAATGGTGTTTCTTTGTAAGAGTGTGAGGGGATGATATGGTAAAAAAAATAAAAAAAAATAAGGGAACTCAAAATAAATTGAATGCATACTTAATTAAAATAATTCATATTACTAATGGATGATTAAATAATATGGCCTAATAAAAAAGCCTGTATTATGAAAAAAATTAATATAACTTTATACAAAATGTTAACAAAGTCATTAATTCCAGGTTAGTCATGAGTCCTCGAAGAAAACGGAGCCAGGCTGAGATGAAGGCATACTGGAAGGAAGCTGCAAAAAGAAGACGAGAAAGAATAAAAAATGATCCGATACTGCTAGAAATAGAACGAGAAAAAGAAAGAAAAAAGTATGCCACGAAGAAGAAGAAAGGTCAGGTAAAATTAGTGAAGGACATCACAAGCGTAAGGGATCTGAAGGCTCAACGTAAGGCATGGAGGGAGAGGGCTAAAAGATCTTACGAGAGGAAAAAAACACAAGGGAAGGCAGTCAGCTTTTTGGCAAGTAACACTCCTCCTGAAAGTGACAACGATGTCCAAGCTCCCATACCAGACAACTTAGGCCTACTTCAATCTCGACGGAAATCTGGGAGAAAGAAAGTGAAGAAAAATAGGGCTAAAGTAGCAAGAGACAACGTGAAACTTAAGAAAAAGAATAAAGAATTACAGAAACTATCAAACAAATGGCGTCAAAAGTTTTTTAGGTTAAAACATCAAATAAGTAAAAGCACTGACAAGAATTCTCCGGGTAAGATTGTGGCTCGGATAATGAAATCTGGAGACAAGAAAGAAGTTAGGAGACGTCTACTTTTCGGTGAAATCTGTAAACGCCAGCTACATGAAAGTTTCAATGGACTTCTTTTGAAAAAAGAAAAAAGAAAATTTGGACAAATTGTATGCGGGAACACCAAAACTTTTAAAAAATATCGTCTTCTATCAGGCTTGAGATCTATATCAGAAAAAGTGTTTAGGAAAAAACGTGTTTTACTTACGAATAATTCCGTAATGCGAACAAAAATGTTGAAGATAAGTGATAAGGTTAAACAAGACGTGCAAACATTTCTTGAGGATGATGAACATTCAAAGTTATGTCCCGGGAAAAAGGACTGTATTACAAAGAAAAAGGTAAAAAAACTAAAACGAATTCTTTCAAGTTCTCTTAAAAAGCTTCACACCCTCTTCTGTAAGCAGGTTGATTACAAAATAAGCTACACCACCTTCACAAAGCTAAGACCATTTTGGATCGTTTCTCGCAAACAAAACGAAAGGGACACATGTATGTGCACAATCCATGCAAACATGGAGCTACTAACTTCAAGCTTATTCAAAGCTAACATAATTGGCCATTCTCAGCCTAGTGATCTTGTTAACCTTGTGTGCTGCGACAGCCAAAACCCGTCATGTTTGCAAAGAACTTGCACTAATTGTAAAGATCTTATGGTTCCCTACTTATTATTTGATGGATCATCAGAAGTTTGTTTCCGTAGATGGGTAAACAAAATGGAAACATACAAAAATAAAAATGGTGTAGAAAAGCAAACCAAACACACAGTTAAAGAAACTGTAACAATGACAGCCTTAGAAGCCATTGACTTGTTTGAAAAAGAATTTCCTAAGTTCTTATTCCATGAAGGCATCATTTCACACCAATTTCGAGCCCTTAGATTCCTTAAGAAGAGGCTGAACGAAGAAGAAATACTAATCCACATGGATTATAGTGAAAATTATTCACTTAAATACGCTTCAGAGGTACAGTCGTTTCATTTTGGTGGAAGTCGCAAACAAATTACACTCCACACTTGTGAAATTTACTTTAAAAAAGATGCTTACAGCCAAGTATCTTCAAAATCCATGTGCACTTTATCGCAAAGTTTAGACCATGGGCCTCATGCAGTCTGGGCTCATCTACAGCCCGTTTTTCAGATGATTAAAAACACTGTTCCCAAAATCAAGGCTGTTCACTTCCTCTCAGATAGCCCAGCCACTCAGTACAGAAATCGCACTATATTCTATTTACTGGGTAGTGCCATAACTGCATCATTTGACCACATTTCTGTGGCAACATGGAACTATTCAGCTGCTGGTCACGGGAAGGGAGCTCCTGATGGAATCGGCGGCTGTTTGAAGAGGACAGCTGACACAGTTGTTGCACAAGGACATGACATTGATAGCCTGCCAAGATTGGTTGAGGTCCTGCAGGAAAATACTCGAAATATAGTACTTTGTGTTGTCCATGAAGATGATATTAAAGCTATCAAGCAAATGATTCCACAATCTCTTCCTCCATTTAAAGGAACCATGAAGACCCACCAGATTGTTTTCCTAAAAGACAACCCAAAGGAACTCAAAATGAGAACATTAAGCTGCTTCCATTGTTTTGACTGCAAAAAGCATCTTCTGGGGACTCATGATCTTTCTGGAGTTATATCTGAGGACATTCATTCTCCAACCCAAATAGTAGATGTGGACTGCGAGATTTTGAACGATGAAATACTTCATCCGGGGCCTTCTACCCAGCCTCAAATTGAGGTCGCCAAGATGCAATCAACGACATTAAATATGTCAACCACTGAAACACCAGCCCCTGGAAGTTTTGCCTTGGTTCAATTCAGTGGTTTTGGGAATAAATCGTTTCGATACGTTTGCAGTGTAGAGAAGCTTGACCAGAAAAATGGTTCACTATGGGTAAACGGTCTAAGAAGCTTTGAACACTCACGCAAACAATTTATAGTGAAAGAAAACGACGAATGTGCTGTAAAACTAGAAGATGTAGTCGCAATACTTCCCCTACCTCGTATTATAATGACCAAAAGAAAAGAGGTTTACTGTTTTGATGAAGACATTAATATTTGTGAAAAGTGAAAACGTACTACAATACCGTACCGTACTTATTTTGAATTTTTATTCAAAAATTGTATTCTGGTAAAGTAGTTTTAGTTTGTGAGTTATATTAACTTATGAATCTACCTAAAACTTTTAGCAAAGAAGTGTTAAATTTAAATTAACTTCAGTTGTTGTTAAAAAGACAGCCAATTCATTGTGTTAAGACCATAATGAATGTTTTGTTACTAAAGACTGAAAATACAAAACTCGCTTGTGACTTTACATTTAAATGCTAAATAATAATTTTAAAACAAGCCAGCCAATGTATTTTGTTTTGTCAATATAAATTAGGCTACCGGTATAGTTTGTTCATTTTCAAGCTGAATGAAACTCATTTATATATTTAAATATAATTAGCCAGTTAATTTATGTGTTCAATAAATAAATATATATATTTTGCTCACTTTAAGACTGAATTACAAGACTGGACTTATTTGTGATGTTACACTTACTCTTAGCAATAATTTTCAAGCTCATTCATAATTTTTGTAGCAGTAAAATATGTTGGAAATAAACATTTAAAAATCAAAACGCCATTATTTCTCACTCCCTACACTTTTACTTCACTCCCTACAAAAGTGATTTTTTTTTTATGGCTTAACTATGGTTAAGTTGAAAATTATGTGTGCTCACTTCTGTAACATACTGGGGGAGCCATAAACATTCATTAGCAATTAAAACCTAACCATTCTATCATGTTTAATTTCCTAAAAAGTCAACGTCCAAATGTGACCGAATTTTTGAAACGACCCTATTATATTTAAAGAATAGGCTTGCTAATACAAATATTATGTTCATTTATAACTTTTTTCTCATTATCTATACATAAAATTGATTAAAATATGTGAATGCGACTATTATTGCTGGGGGGGAGGGGGCGCCACAACCATGTTTGCTCCGGGCGCTGCCAACCCTAGGGATACCCCTGATATTTACCTTAGGCCCCATTTATGCTCAAGTTTGGGTTGCAACTAAGGCTTGGTGTGTCGCCCAAAACAAGCGACAAGCAAAATTTAAATTTCATTCTTTTGTACCGAATGTGATGCAATAGTAATGGTCTAAACCAGAAATTTCGAATCTCAAAACCGAAACCGAAACTTTAAAAAAATCAAATCCTGAATCTCGAATCTCAAAACCTAAACGCGAAACTTTTTTACTTAGCTGGTTACAAAGGTCAAGGTTACAAAAAATACACATAATCATAAAATGTTAAGTATGCAATCAAAACTGAAAGAGATCAATTCCTGACCATGACAAAACATAAATATGTGAATGTGACTGATAATCTTAAATCCCAAAAATAATTTTTTATAAACAACTAACAAAACAAATAATTAAACTTCTAACACCAACATAAACATGAATATTAAATTAATTAGAACATTTAGTGGTCAATATTTGTTTTTGCATTCAGTAAATATTGATGTGAAACTGAATTGTACCAGTTATAGTATTTAAGATACCTTTTGAAGTTCAGAATAAAATTTACTTAAAAATAAATGATGTGTATTTTTAATTTTGAAAGCACTAAAGTAATGTGAAATGCTGCATTAAGCTTAGATTCCAATTGATTTATATGATCAGCTTAAAAACAATAACAATGGCACAAAAAAATGTCAGTAGTTTCAAAAATAAAACTGTCAAAATCTTCAATTTTGAAACTTTTGAATCTTGAAACTTTGTGATCGAATCTCGAAACCGAAACTTTTCCGAAGTTTTCAGCTGATTAGACATAGGCGACTTACCCAACGGCCCTACGACGTGGTGGGGAAAGCTTCTAGCCAAGGGTCTGTCTCAGTGACCAGTGTGTCTCCAACCATCCTATGCGTGGGGTGAGTTGTTAAGTGGAGTCGTGCAAATCAATTTGTAGTTTGCTGTGTTAGTTGGCAAAAATTTAATTTTCAACAAACCCTAAAGCCTATATCCCGCAGGGATATAATTGCCACGCGTTTGGAATTAAATTAAGTTAGGAAAAACTCGTTTCATCCTCACCAACTTATACATACCGCTCCCAAAATTTCACGTCTTAGTTCAACCAAAATTCAATTTGTCCGCATTTTGGAAAAAAACTCATCCGTATTCCCTCTGATTCCAAGTGTTTTGTGTCTGACAACCTAGTAAGTAAGTAACTATATATTATTTATTGTATTAGTGTTATAATTACCTACTCTTAGTGGGTCGTACAAGCCGTTACATTTTATTTTATGTTTTGTCATTTCCTGTTCTTGAGCACATGTTTTCAGATTATCCATTTTGATATAATTAATTGGTATTGATACATAGTCAGTGATTTATTTATTAAAATACGTCACATAACGCCTAAGGAGTGCTTCTGCACGCAGGCAGGTAAATTTTCAAAATATAATAATAGTATAGAATAAAAGCAACATAATAATAAATATAGTAATAAACATAATAGAATAAATTATTAACAGTATTGAACAGTATTGAAAAACAAGTATAAAATAAGTTAGGTTATTAGCAAAGTTTACAAATAAGTTATATCAATGCCTATAAGTTATGTTTACTACAATCAGACTGATAAAAAATCCTCAATTCTGTAACAACAGTTGTCTAACAGGTAAGACAGTAAGTGTAACAGGAACTTTTTAAATGATTCTACCTCTCTCAGTGATAAAGGAAGCTTATTATACAGTTTGAGACCCATATAAAAAGTACTCTTTTCATAAGCAGCAGATTTATGTATGGGGTACTGCAACACAGAGCTCATGGGCCTAAAGCTGTATTGGGAGTTACTTCTTTTTTCTTCATAAATAGAAAAATGTTTTTTGACAAAGATTAAAGTGTTGAATATATACAAAGAGGGCACAGGTAAAATCTTCATTCTTTTAAACAAATTTCTACAAGATGTTCTTGGATTAACTTGTGCAATAACTCTTATAATTCTCTTTTGTATTTTAAATATTTTTTTACTGTCAGTGGCATTTCCCCAGAACTCAATACCATAGCCAATGTTAGAGTCAACATATGCAAAGTATACCATTATCTGAGTTTTTTCATCTATTAATTTTGAAAGCACTAAAGTAATGTGAAATGCTGCATTAAGCTTAGATTCCAATTGATTTATATGATCAGACCATGTTAGAGTTGAGTCTAATTTTATTCTAAAAAGGTTGCAAGATTGAATTTTACTTAACGTGTCTTCTAACGGGTTATAGTCAATCTGTCTACTTTTTATGCTATTAGAATGGAAGTTCACACAATATGTTTTATTTCTGTTAAGTTTAAGATTATTGGCCAGAAACCATTCAGTCATAAGATCAAGATCATTTTTAATTTCAATTTTTAAAATATCAGGGGTTTTATTTTTTAATACTGCAGTAGTATCATCAGCATACATTACCAATTTTAACTTAAGATTTTGTTTCAAGAGGTCATCAACATAAATAAGAAACAACAACGGACCCATTATTGAACCCTGGGGAACACCTTCAGTGACATTTTTGAAGCCTTAATAGTTAAGAGTAATTCAGTTGAACTTTTTGTTTTCTACCCAACAAGTACGACTCCACCAAATCATAAGCTTTTTGTCTAATTCCATAAAACTGAAGTTTGTGCAATAAAATATTGTGATTGACACAGTCAAATGCCCTTGACAAATCACAGAAAATGCCAATGGCATACTGTGATCCATCAACGGCACTTGCTATGTAATTCAAGACCTCAAAGAGAGCATCTGAAGTGTTACAACCCCTTTTAAATCCAAACTGATTAAGGAATGTTGATGGTTTCAAGATATGATACTAGTCTATTACAGATTAATTTTTCATAAACCTTGGAGAAAACTGGCAATAAGGATATTGGTCTGAAATTCTCAAGCTGTGTTTTATCTCCTTTTTTGTAGATTGGACGAACAATACTATATTTCAGTAAATCTGGAAATATGCCTTTATTAATAGAAATGTTGATGATGTATGACAAAGGCTCAACAATGCTGCTTTTACAAATTTTTAAAATAAAAGAGGGAATGCCATTCCATCCTGAGGATCTGGAATTTTTCAATTCACTAATTATGGTAGTCGATAAAATCTGATAAGTGTGGTCAGAGATGTCAGTATCTACAACTAAAGTTTGACAACTGTCTAAAGCTGTAAAATAATAAGAAACAAATTGTAAACAAAACATGACCTCTATAATCTACATTGCACCGTACAGAAATAAAACTACAATTTGGGCTTAAGCTGTTCCATAAGTATGACAAATCTACTAGTATATGTTTTGATCATAGATCAAACATTAAGCCCCTTAGAAGATTTGTCATCCTTGTTGAAAAGCTGAAGGCAATTTTATTGATATTCTATGCCGACTGTAGAGGTTGTGTTTTTTTTACAATATGTTTCTTGATTGTTATTTCAGTTATTTAAAACCTAATTTGACCAAATAAAACTATCTAATCATAAAAAATAACTGGTCTCCTAGTTATCTAACCAAACCGTAAAGCACAGATCTTAAAATTACCCTAATATAATAGAAACAATATTTCGTTTACACTAGCGATCAGTGTCGACATACATGAACTAGACACGAAAAACAAGCTTCAAAATCAACAATGGGATGAGAAGTCTACTTAGGCCTATGTTGCACAGTCTACGGTTTTATCTATGAAAAAGTATTTTTACACCGGTATTACACAATATTACAAAATAAATATTATACAATAGTTATCATGCATAGCATAAATAAGCAACACGAGCAACATCAAGCTTATGATAATCAGAATCAGAATCAGAATCTTTTATTGCCATAATAATACATAAATGTACAGGGCAAAAGTCACTAAAACTAAACAAATAAAATCAGACCCATTAAAATATAATAATATATTTCAGCTTACGTAATTAAAGTAAAACAGCAGATACAAAAAGTTATTCTATTATTCAACAAAAAACCATTTCATATATAGGCTACATCTATTACATGGAGTAGAAAAAAATTGAAATACTTTTGGTTTTGCTACGTTGGCTGCACTTAACGCAACTTCTTATTGCCGAGTAGCGGCTGCTAGTCCATACGATAATTTGAGGACCATTGCACGATAATTTTTTTGTCTACTCAGGATCGATCAGCTGTCCCATCCGCTATGACGTAATTCCCGCGCGTTATAAGCTATGCCACGTTTTTAAAATTATAAGCTATAAAACAAACGAGATATTATAAGCTGCAGCACATTTGAGCTATACCATTATAAGTTATGCCACATTTTAAGAAAACCGTTATAAGCTATGCCACATTTCTACGATTATAAGCTATGGAACAATTTAAATTTTCCATTATAAGCTATGCCACATTTTCAAGATTATAAGCTATGCAACATATTCGCAATTATAAGCTATGACATTATAAGCTATGGCATCGTACCGCCGTGGCCTGGTAGAATTAGCAACGTCGCAAGTGGTGTTGTTTAGTGACAGACGTCCCATAAGATAACATGGCAGACAGGTGACATCAGCTCATTAATTCGCATTTTATTGATTTAAATTTAAATTTATGAACATAACCGAAACAATATGAATTATTAAAAATATATATCTGTACATTTTTAAGCGGATTCAATATTGTCATAGTCCAGTAACCAATCTGTCGTTTTCCAAACAAAACAGCTGTTACAACACCACTTGCGACGTTGCCACTTCGAAGGCCACGGCCTGGAGTTAAAGGCGGCCGTGGCTACAGCGAGGTGGAGTCAAGGAACCGCACTGGGAAGTTTGTGTTTGTACTTTGTACTTTAACAAAATTAATACTTGTTCTCTTAGTTTGAAATATGTAGGCGAACTGGTGAACGATAGAATAGCTTATTGAAAGTTTTAAGCTTTAATTTTGATAATAGTTAAGATGTAACTAAAACATTTATAATTATATGCATACTTAAATGATGCTGGTGCAAGCAGATATTTCTTTACGGCTTTTTCCAACTTGCAGGAGGATTCAATTCAATTATCAATTATCAATTATTTAAGATGGGGACGCCACTATGTGCGTATTTTAACCCAAATATGAGTGAAGGATGAGTGTAGGATGAGTGGCGCGATCTTGTAGTCTTGTTAGTGACTAAGGCCGACATGTTCCTTAGACACAGCTGTTAATTAATAGCCCATACAGCTAATGGCAACTAAGGGACCTACAGTTTATTGTGGAATCCGAACCACATTTTTTCCTCGTAATTAACGAATTGGTCTAATTATTTAGGATAGTAATTATTTAGGATTATTTATTGATTTGAAATCTAATTTGATATTATGACACCAATTAATTAATGTTTACAAAATCACGAGCAATTCAGTAAAACCATAGATAAAACATGCTCCTCAAGGTAAAATATGGACTAAGCCGTTGAGGAGTATATTTTATCTATGGTCTTACCGTGCCATCTACGGCAATAGCTATTTCCCTATAGGAAAATTCGATAAAAACGGGCCATAGTGCGTAATCTCACGCCTAATTCATATTTCGTTACATTGTGCATAATAATCTGCAAAATGTACCATAGATAACATAAATGAGGGGTTGTGCTCAGTGGGGTAGCATAGTGATAGGGGACCCCAGCCAAATGTAGGAATAACCATAGACTAACCAACACAAGTAGACTTCTCATCCCATTGTAAATTTTGAAGCACGTTTTTCGTGTCTAGTTCGTGTACGTGACACAAAGACGCTAGTGTCGATGAAACTTTGTTTCCATTATTTTAGGGTTTATTTCTTGATTTGTGCTTTACTGTTTGGTTATATAACTAGGGGACAAGTTATTGTTTATGATTAGATCGTATTATTTGGTTAAACGAGGTTTTAAATGGCTGTAATAACGGAAATCAAATTGTAAACAAAACACGACCTCTACATAAACCGTACATGAACTAACAATAAAATTGTCTTCAGCTGTTCCATAAGGATGAGAAATCTACTAAGGGAGTATGTTTTATCTATGGAATAACTATTGTATTAAATAGCTTAAATTTATCTTGCATAGTACTGTATTGTATTCATGATGCCAACAAAGAGGGTATCTTAATTGGAGAGTTAATATAAATATATATTACATGTACAATAACCCTACACCTTATCAATTTTATTTGACAGACTGTTAAGACAACAAGAAGAATTAATTAATGTTTGTTCATCAGTCTTTCAGTATTAATAATCAACGGTAACTATATTCTCTAACGGGGATTTTTTTCATATTTGTCTTGTCTTTTTGTTATTTTTTTTAAGTTATGTCTGTCAAATTGTCAAATCGTGTTCGTCTGTTCGTCGTAGTGTCTTAGCAGAAACAGAAAGAAACACACGTGTTTTCCTGTGTTCGTTATAGTATTTATATCTTCTGGTTAATTATTAGCAGTCTTTTTGCGTTTAAATTTTCTTAGATGTAGTTTGTATTGTTTTACCTTTGCTTTGAATTCATTTTCAACATAGGAAATGGCCAATAAACCCGAGTATTTAGTTGTTGATACAACTGCTTTCATTCGGAATGCTCCACTACAGGTACCTAATTTTACAAACATACAATGTGTCATTATAGATACACTAAAAAGATACATACATTACTTGCATGAATATTCCAAAATTGGTAGCCTAGTGGTTAGCATATTCAGTTTTTAATTTATCCTAGATACATAATGCGGATGTTACTAGTCAGTGCCGCTATTACTAGGGGCACTAGAGGTTTTAGGTTTAGGCGCAAGGAAGAGAAACAATCCCCTCATTTACGAACTGCAGGCCTGCCACTGGTATTAGTTTGCTTTATCACAAGAACCTCCAGACGTCTCCTGATAAGGGTACTTTGGTACGGAGGCCACATATTTTACAGCGTGCTGTAAAACATGGGTACTGTTATTTAGGTTGGGTTGTCATAATTTTTTTTGTTGGAATGTCCTCGTTTCGGCTGCACTTTACTTTAGGTCCTACATTCATTTGAATGAAAATATCAATTATTCGATTGTTTCATTCGATATATCGTTTGGTTAGTTAGGTTAGGTTAACCTTACCTAACTAGCCAAACGATATAACTTATCGAATAATCGATATATCGATCGATATTTTCATTCGAATGAGTGTAGGACCTAAAGTAAAGTGCAGCCCTCGTTTTGTTAAGAATCGAACAGTACCACGAGTCAGACTTTCTATTTATAATAACCCGACCTAACATAGCCTACCAGCCGCAGCGCGCTGTATAAGGGTGGCCTCCATATACCAAAAGATTACTCCTTTAAAGTTTTTATGATAAGTTAACTTTAATTAGAAAAAGTACAAGTGAAACTTTGATATTTAACTCAATCGTGGGGGGCTATTAACCCTCCCAGTGTTACTTGACGAAAATTCGACAAGCAGCACACTTTGTGTAGTGTTACTTGTCGATTTTTCGACACGCAGACATCGTTTACGGCGAAGGCTCTATGACTGACTGAATCGGATTGAACTGGATCGAGTTAGGTATCGTTCTTTCCGTAATATTCTAAGCTTTCTCCAGAGGTCTGTCTCTAAGCGCTATTCATTTTAGTTCCGAAAATATTGTAGCAGACAGCTGACGTGCGTGTATTTGTAAACAGCTAGGTTCCCCCGGACCGATGACTGATGTGTTTTATTACGTTTATCATTGTTTTAGTGTTAAAAATCAAAAGTAGTGATATACGTGGTGCATTATAAGAAGATTTAAGTGGTTTTGAAGTGCTGGTTGATGATCCTGAAGAAGTAGGTAGTGATATTGATGTAAATTATCAGCCAGATTCCTAGCTATGGTTAGGCTATGCATTCTTAGCTAAACGCTATGTACTGAAATCAGTTTTTTGCCCATAACTTATTTATTTGCAAATATACTTCCTTATATTATTATATATTTGTAATCCTCATAAAATTTAGAACAAAGTGGCTATTTTCAAATATTTATAGGCCTATAATTTATACAATTTCATTGAGCGCAAACTTATTTTTTTTTTGAAAATTTTCGAAATTATATTTTTTTTACCTAAAATTTTTTTTTTTTTTTTAATGTTTTTTATGTTTTATATATAATATTGAAGCCCATGATTTTCCAAACAAAATGGTATATAGAACATTAGAATTAACATTGTTTTAAGCTTCTCAGATCCGTTTTAATAAAACCTTGCAAATGCGCCAAAAATAGGTGGACATTAAGGCCTAAACTATGGACACTTGGAGGGTTAAATAAAATCAAATATGCTGGCTATTAATCTTATTAAAAACCCATACTTCTATACAAATTGTAGCAATCGTTAAATAATCAGAGTTGGATATAAAGCTTTTGCCAAAATACATAAATAAGTCAGTTTTTCATCTCAAGGCAATTTTGTTTTCCACCAAAACCTTTTTGATCTTCTGCTAGCAAACCTGACATAGGTACAGGCTTTCTATGCTAATAAGTTAACTAGGTTTTATTTGCGAACTAAAGTTAACGTAACATATTTACTGTTTGGTTCAGCTTTTATAAAACCCTTTAAATCCACTAGGCCATGAGTGACTTTTTTGTTGTTGCTGCAATTAAGTGTTATCGGTTGAATTAAAACCAAACCATTGTGTTGTAGGAGATGGGACAGAACATTGTTACAATACAAGAAGTGGTGAATGAAATTACATCAAAGAGGCAGCTCAGAAGATTGGTGGTCATACCATATGATTTGAAGATAATGAATGTGTTCCCTGAGAGCGTTTCTTTCAGTAAGTCTATTGTCAGTTGTTGATTTCAAGTCAATTTATAGGAATTGTTTTAAGTCAATTTCAGTACGTAAACATTCAAGTTAGTCTATTTTATCTTAAGAACAAACACCAATTTACAATAAATAGTATTCAGATAAGTAACAGAAAAGAAAAAAAACTACGACAGTAATAACTAAATTATAAATAGGCTAACATACCGTAGCTGTAACCTAAATTATTAGGCCTGCAGATTCAACAAAATAACTGTTTGAAAATTATATAAATATATCATTGCAAAGTCACATCCTCATACATTATTAGATTTTGAAATGAATAAAGAAAATAAATTAATTTAGTTTTTCTATCAGTCAACATAATCAATGTTAGTTGGGTGATCAAATTTCAGATCTAATTTTTTGACAATGTGAACAACATTTTTAACTTTATAGGCCTAATGAAATCTTAAAATTTACATGTAGGCCCGACTGTAGCTGAGAAAGTTTAAGTCTGTCAACAAAACAAAATTTCTCAAGAAGCATTTCCTTCCTATTGTAATCTAAACTTGTTTAAACGATTTCTTGGTAGGCGTACATTTTGTGAAATAGGAACTTTATTGTCTTAAATAAAGCATGATTTATCATGTTGGATACAAATTTCAAATTAGGGAACAAAAAGTTTTTGATGAGATGCGTAATTATAAGCCTAATCAGTTACAGAGTTTTCAAAGAAGACGGGAGATTACATGTCTTTGTCGGCCACGGACATCAAGTTGATGGCGCTCACTTATCAGTTGGAAAAAGAGCATGTCGGTGTTGACCACTTGAAAACAGCTCCGGTCACAAATAGGATTGTCACTTTTGACCGGCCTAAACTGTCGGCTCCTGATCCAGCCGGCTTTTACAAGGTAGTCTGCTTTTAAAAATAAACATATTTGAGCAGTATTATAAGAATAAGATCTAGATGATTATTTGTTTGCCTTCAAAGAGTTATGAAAAAGTTTTCCATTGCTAAAACTGCTATTTGAAGTACATCCGGAAAGTTTGTATCCTGGCATGGTTGTGGATATGCCTTCTTTGTACTGCACAGTGAACATGAAATTAAGTGAAGGTTATTCATTCCTTAAAGACAGTGGATAGAAAGCCTTCATATTTGTGCCAGTATCTTCATTTTAATGTATTCTAATTCTTAACTTTCTTAGATTTATTTCTGAACATTAAGCCGTGTTTACACGATGCCAGTTGGCGAGACAATTGTCAGGAGACAACTGACTGTCTTGGAATTACTGGCTTCATGTAAACACTTCAGGCCAATTGGCCCGCCAACTGTCCCGAAATTCAGTTGTCTCCGGGAGTAGACTGAGGACAATGAGCTGGGCCCAGTGAGGCCCCCACCCCTCGAAAACCCAGTTGTCGTGACAATTGGCGCCGTGTAAACGGTGTAGAGGCCAATAGCACTGTCTTGTCTTTTAGCAGTAGTACCCTCGTTCACTGTAAAATGCCTGGGCAAGTGTTGGCCACGAGTGAACAGGTTCTCGTTCAACTTGCCTGGCCTACGACAATTCCAAAACCACGTGATGTCAATTGGCAAAGACAATTGTCTCGCCAACTGGCATCGTGTAAACCCGGCTTTAGGGCATTTTAGGGATTTTACAGTTAAGAAATGTTTTTTAGGGAACAGTGAAAGAATCATCAGCAGACAATGAGGTGAATGAAGATGACAGTTCAACTCTTATAAAGGAAGGTGATGAAAGAACAGAAATAGAAATAGTTGATTTTGAGAAGCCAGAAAACCAGGTTGAAAATGTTGACAGTGGATCAACTGAAGAATCATCAAACCTACAAGAAAGTAATGATGCCATTTGTGAAGAAAGTGATTCTGATGGTAGTGGGGATGATGAGAAGTCTCTTGTTGAAGACCTTTCAAAACTCAATGTTACCGATGTACTGTCACCCGTGTCAGATGAGGAATATAAAGACGAAGAGGGGAGTGAAGATGAAGATGATGACGAATCAGATTGGATAACTCCGGAAAATTTACATCAAGCTAAAATGCAAATGGACTTTGGACTGACAGAAGACAAAGCAGTGACAGTGGCTTGTATAACTACTGACTTTGCAATGCAGGTGGGTTGGCTTTGCTCTTTGAATAGTTAGGTAAATATTTCAGGATATAAATGTCTGATAAAGTACAGAACAGAAATATGTTTCATAGGGGCGGTTCACGAGCTCGGGACTTCATAGTCCGCGACCAGACGTTGGTCCCAGACTATAAGCGACGACCAAAAAATGGGTTCACGAGTCAGAGCCTAATGATGTGAAAGCCGGGCCCATTGTAGGTCGAGACCAAATCCGTAGTGGAGCCTAATGACAGGGATTCGCAGGGAATTTCTGTTGAGACGTTGGTATCAACCAGTAACAACAGTCTGGAAACACATGTGAAGCCACTGCTGTTGACATACGCACTTCCATACAATAGGATGATCGTGAAAAAGGGCTGAACCAAAACGTCCAAAACGATTATTTTTCGCGTATTTCATTGTCCCAATGCTCGCCTATGATAATCTATCCAAGTTTATTGATTTATAAACACAATAATCCACGTTTGTATGGAATCAGATAATGGAAGTCTTTAGTGAAATATATTTTTCTGTGTGTATTATTATAATTCAATTAAGATGCATGACATAAAATAACCGGGTATTTATAACAGGATGAATGCCTATTTTGCATAAATGCCCGATAATTTAGGATGGTGATTTTTGGATATGATAATTTTAACTAAACTTATTTAAATGGTACAATTATTGAAACTAAAATGTATTTAGAGGTACTGATTATTAGATATAAAAATTGTATGTGTGTGCTGGATTTAATCGTGGCTGTAACCTAAGAATATTCTTTCCGTTATTCTTACACTCTTTAATAATCTAACTTTAAAATGTTGAAAATAATATTCTGCAGTTAGCTCGTAATATTATTTATGTTAACAGCTATGGTTTTTAATTTATAAAAACGTCTTTAATTTACGTTTATATTTTGGAAAACATTGTTTTTTTTTCTTTGGGCATAGTTTCGAACCGAAAATTTGATTTGTTCTGCTTTCATTACCAAACAAATAGCTATCATCCAAGCTTTACTAACATCCAATAAATCACCAGTTTCTCGATGAAAAGTGCCATCAGCCAAAAATATTTGTGCAACTAACATTTTTTTTCAATTTAGAATACTGTAATGGATTTTGTTGTCGGGAAATCCGTGCCTTGGAGTGAACGCCTCAAATGACTCATTGACGGCATCTTTGGAACATTTTAATCTATCACGATAACGAGCTGGTCCTATGCGAGGTAGTGGAGTGATGGTACATAATTGTTAACATAATACAGTATAGATATTTCATAGTCATATTCAATACACACGGCGGCCAGTGAGTACAACCTATATATAGTCAATGGTACAACACAAGACGGCGATACCACCGCGAACCGTATACTCAACGACTGACGGTTTGCTTGATATTTCCCACGGCAAAAAACTATTTCTGATAATTATGTTGGATAACGATGGTTGAACTGTGGCTGATTAGTTATATTTATATTCTACGCATAATTTTGTCGTTAAAATTGTAATAACATGGGGTTTATCAGTAAAATATCTTTGTTATGATACTACTTTGTTACGTGCATAATTTATCCGTAGTTTTAAGTTGTTTGATGGTTTTTCATGTTTTATGAGCCTTTTTTACCATTTTTACATATTTTTTTAATATGGTGTTGTGGGTAATGAAATTGTTCGGAATTTAATGAGGAACCATATTTAAACATTAGTTTTCAACAAATAATAAAAATAAAGGAGCTAATTAGATAAAACCGGCATCATGTCACCTTAAACCTGTCTCCTACCAGGTCTGAGTTGGAGACCAAACACCATTGTTCTTTTGGGCCCGAACCATCTCATTTGGGCTCGGACTTGACTCGTGAACCCACCGAGACTAATGATCAGAAGCCGGGACTATCTGTAATTGGACTCGTGAACCCAACTTTTAAAACCGGGTTTTATCCCTGCACTAATTGTGTGCCGCCTATCAGTTTGGTCCGCGGCTTATATAGTCTCGAGCTCGTGAACCCGATTTTTTAAGTCGCGGCCCAAATACCGGTTATTTCCGGATCTGGGCTCGGACTACGATAGTCCCGAGCTCGTGAACCGCCCCATAGAGTTGCATCTCCAGCTGACTAGATTTATTTCAGGATATAAATGTCTGATAAAGTACAGAACAGAAATATGTTTCATAGAGTTGTATCTCCAGCTGACTGGATTGTGGTGGCCTAAATGTCAGGTTTTCAAATTGGTCACAGAAGTTTGATTTTGAAATAACCTGACTTTTTTGTTAGGTACCTTTGTTCTCAAGCTGAAGGTTTGTATTCACCCTCTGCACATATCGCCAACTTGTCTGGCATCTTCTATGTTCCTATCACCAACACAGCAAAGTGTCTATTTACACTAAATATTTACAATTGTCAGGGGTATTACAATTGGGTCGAACAGGTAAAACACCGACGGACATATAGCGGAGTCATTGGTCTTTCCTCTCATGTTCATTTCTTGTACTGCGGTTGGTGGTGATGCAATCTGGGGTATTGGAAAATTGAGGGTAGGGCATTTCCAGGTTCAACCAACTTTTAAGGACTCGATTCTGCAGAGATATAATAAGCATCCGACCTGCCATAAACCTGGAAAGCCCTACCCTCAATTGTCCAATATCCCGAATTCCATCACTTTCAGTCCCAGTGCAAGAAATGACTCTGCCTTACGTCTGTCGAAACTTCAACCGTTCGGCCCAACCGCAATACCAGTCACAATTGTAAATATTTTATGTTCAATAGACAATTCCTAGTGTCAGTGTTAGCATGAAATTAAGATAGAATACCCTCTGAATGTACAAGCTGGCAAAACGTAAATAGGGTGGATACAAAGCTTTAGTTCAGGAACGAAGGCAACAAGAAAGGTAACTAGGCCTAATATAATTTAAGTTCCTGAAACTAGGATAACACAAAAACACTAAAAACAAATATATATTATGTATATTTTCTAAGTGAAGCCTAGACGCTGGGAGCCAGGATGAATGAAATCATAATTGTTGTCCTAAAATTGTTAAAAATACTTAGCTCAAAATGATGAGAATTTATAATGCTTGCAAAAACACATAATTGTGTTTGTAAGACTTATGAACCAAAGACCAAGACGATCCACTTGAAAAGAAACACTCATTAATATTTTTAAACTTGGTTTTTAAAATCAACTTGGTTCAAACCCATATTTAAAAACTCCATTCTGATATATAAATTATTTCAAAGTAAATTAGGCCTAATTGATTCTTATGTGTTGGATTATAGAATGTGCTGAAGCAGATTGGCCTGAATGTTGTTGGGTTGGACGGTCGTGTAATAAAACATCTGCGGACGTTCATTTTCCGATGTTATGCGTGCTTCAAGACTACGAGCAATATGACCAAGGTGTTTTGCCCCAAATGTGGCAATAAAACCCTCAAAAAAGTGTCCGTTTCGGTAGATGAAAACGGGCAACAAGTCATCCACATAAACCCTCGCAAGCGTTTGACTGCCAGAGGGAAAAAGGTGAGAATTTTAAAATGCTACAATAACAGATTATACTCAAGTAGGTAAAATTATTGTTATTTTTATTTTCATAAACCAAAATAGCCCTACTTACAGAACCATTTTTGCGGTAAGTATGTCAGTTCTCATATTTAGTGCCAAACCATCAGTCATGTGATTTTTGACTTTGAAAACATTCCCACAAACTTTTTTATAAAGAAAAATATACACTTTTAACAGTTCAATATCTTTTTCAGGGTAATTGAAATTTATAGAATTTTAGCGTGAATCTCCTTTGAAAAAGGCCAAACTATTAGAATAGGATGATGAAATTGATGCCGTATTTCTGTAAAAACATGACAAGACAATAGCTCGTTGCCTAATAGTTAATTGTCCATTGTGCAATATCTCTGTATTTTCTTCTGCTGGAAATAATGTTTTGACAGTTAGATTTTTTTTGTGTTAACATTGTTTTGTGTGTGTTAACTCAAGCAAATGTCTTGCTGGCATTTCTGTCTCATTAGCTGTGGCGACTTTTACCAGAAAAGTCAAAATTTGATTGTCAAGTTTTGTCATTCAAATTTTATCTGAATATTCAACAACTTTGAGATCTAAATTGGACACATCACTATAGTCGGGACCACGTAAGTTTGCAGTTGGTGGCAGCCAATCACAAGACAAGGCTAGTGCGACGTTGCCACATCGCCTGTTGACAACACTTATTAAAATATAAGCAATATTTTCAAATCAGCTGGTATTATTAGATTTGGCAACACCGTGCGGTTCTCATTGGTTCATTCAAAATCATATGGTAAATAGGCTCCACCCTCAACTGCAAACTTACGTGGTCCGACTTAGTGTAAATTCTGTAATTTAGTAAGATCAATCCTTAATGATCAATCATAGAATTCAATAACAATTTAAGGTGCGTTTTTGGCGAAACAGTGTGACCAAATGGTTAGTTACACATTTAGAAGTTTCAAGCTCATAATAGCCTTCAGAAAATACCTTAACTTTTAAAAACACATATTATACAACCCTAATTATCATTTTGTCTGTAAATTTTTATCAAAAAATACATATTGAATATATTTGTTACTTTCATATTAAACCTCTTTTGTCTTCTTTCACAATAATTTTAACTTTCCAACTTTGTGTACTATGAAATATCCAACTGTCATCCTAATGAGTTCAATTCTCATACAACAGTCGTATTCAAAAGGTTTGAATTTATATGATTCTAGACTTTAAAATCCATAATGTCATGCATATTTTCCCCGTAGTTTTCACTTCCGAGGCCCCAGGGTGGTAAACATTCCAACAACCCGATTCTGTGTGAGGATCAGCCGATGCCGGATCAGCGTCCCTCTCGGCTAGCCAGGACCAAGACCAATCCTCTAGACGATGACTACATCGCAGGTAACTGATAAAACTAACGGATTTCTGTTCATTCGATCAATTTAAATGGTTTGTGTAACAAGTTATATCATATAAATTTTTCACTGTAAAGTGGTTTAAATACCAGCATTTCCAGTAATCTAACATGGTTATAGTAGCTACTAGTTTCGGTCAACAATTTAAAGGGATATTATGTCTTTAGAAGTAAAAAAAAAAAAAAAAACTATTGCATCATAGAAAGGTTTTCATATTGTTACACACACCAATAAATATAAACATTCAACATTAATTACCAGATATATTAAATTACGCCACGGTAAAAATTAATTACACAACTTGGTGGTTTTGTTTTTGGTTTTATCAAGATCTTGTTTAATAGAGATTATTTGCAATACATTACTTTCTGACAATATAGTGGAAAGAATCCATCAGAATACTTACTGCTTGTCTGCCTGAAAACTTCAGTAGCTAATATGGGATTGGTTTGTAAGATAAAATGTTAACTACTATTAAGAATAATTCAATTTATAATTTAAATTCATTTTTATAGCCCCAGGATTGCGTAATATGACATATAATGGTTAAAACATACCTCGTCAGACAATCCTTAACATGTAGTGTCGAAATTGCTACATATGTTTCGGCGGTTATTTACTGATCTCCGCCATCGTCAGGCAAACAAAAGGATCCACTTGATGTGTCGTCAGAATAAATAAATATAACACACATTTTACAAAACATAAAAACGAAAATGATAGGCCTATCAATTACACGCACTGCCGTGGACATGGCAGGAAGCAGACTGAATGTTATGTTGTGATGTGACTTGACTCCGGGCTGTCGTCTGCGTTATCAACAGCTGATATTGGTCTGTTGTAGTGACGGAGGAGAGTATTGAAAATATAATGAGATTCATAGTTGAGTTTTTCATTCAAAATTTGTGTGCTGTGCTTGGTTTTTATGTCTTTATATATTTTGAATTCTTCCAGACTTTGGATCATCTGTTGCAAATGAGTTATTATTCATTTGAAGAGTTTTTTCAATGTAAAAACGACTAAATAAATAAGGTTGAGGTGCTCTGATGGAAAAATTAAAAAAATGTATCTGTATGCGGTTTCTAATTTTCTGTAAATCGAAATCAAAATGCATAAAAATTAGTTATAGCCTGACACTATACATGTATGTATATACAATATGAATAAAGAATTTTTGATTTGATTTGATTTGAACCAGTCAACCATCGTCTCCCACGATCACAGAAACATCACCAACGTTTTTTGTGATTGTGGCAAAATCTATCATGTCTTCTACAGTTTTGTAGTTAGACATCATTATCATCTGTCGCAGCCAGGGAAAATCATAATTGACCTTTGATATTGCAGCAATATCGTGAATTTATCGATGGAGACTGGTTCTGCGATGGTAATAGTAAAAGCTTGGCTCAACTCTGCTTATTTTCTGTGAAATCCTTCAAAGTTTGGTAAAAATCCATGCATCTAACTTTTTAACTATCAAGTGTAGTACAGTCCCAACTCAGAATAATTGGAGTTCTACTGTCTTTAGGTTGCATCAAATATAGATTCTAAATTGTGAAAGAGAATCATAGAATAACCCTAATTGGTTTAATTATAGACAAAAAGAATTAAATATAGGTAGGCCGTCAGCCGTGCTGCTGTTACTGTTACCATAGGTTCTGGCGCACACCGCTGGGAGCGCCATGTAGTTACGGCGTACGCGCTACGTAACTACACGGCGCTTCCAGTGGTGTGCGCCAAAACCTATGGTAACCAAGGTAACCGCAGCACGGCTGACAGTCTATATTTAATTATTTTTGTCTATGGATTAATACTGTAAAAAAATTTTTGTCAGGTTTGCAACTTACCTTAAAGTTGTTTAAATCTATCATAATATTTTATACATTTTTGTTTTGTTTTCAGGATTCTCCCCATTTGTCATGAGGGATGTGAATTCTCGATCAGCCATGCTTGGGATCCAAGGGAAACACACTCAAGTTAAATATTGGATGAGGAAGAATCCAAATGAGGTGGTAAAACATGGAAGGAGGAAGAAGAAGTAAAACATTTATAAAGAACAGAGGATTTATGTTTTTTTTATGTACATAGCGTTTAATCAGTTAAAAGAAATTACAAATGTTTCTTAAGTTAAAACACCACTATTTATTTATTAGGAAGCCTGAAAAGTTCTGTTAGATAATTACTGGTATCTCAATACAAATAATTCAACAGTATCCTTTTTAGATAGGTTTTTTTGGACAGTTTCTATGGCAACCGTCGATATTGTGACAATAGTATTTTATTCAAACTGATAACAGTATTAGTAATTAATTTAAATTTTTAAAGTTTACAATGGCAAATCCTGAGTCAAAACCCAGTAAAGTTGGTTGGTTGTGGGAGACAATTTTTGGTAGGAAAAAATCTACATCGAAAAAAAGAGTTGGTTTTAATGACTGTTGTGTTAACTCGCAGGACACAATTAATGCTCGTTTGTTAAAGCAAAACAATAAAGCTGGACAAAAGCTTCCTGCTTTAAGTTTTAATCTACACAATTCAAGAACATCGCAAGAAGGCGAGTGCCCAGGTAAGACCTTGTCAACTTTACAAAGAGGATGCGGTTTCCACGTATATTTCTGTGTTGACAAGAGTGGAAAATCAAAACCTATTAGGAGCAATGTGAAAAAATTAAATTGTGAAAATCTACCTGAGAGCGCCTCAAATGTTGAAAATTCTGTTTCTTGTAAAACTAAAACAGTAAAATCGCAAACAACTCAATCTCCTAAGTCGTTTAGAAACAATGTCCAAATAAGTTTAAACCCAAGGGAAGCAGGGACGTTAGTTACTGACTCGCTTAGTACATCTGCAACTTCTATGTCTGGAAACAATGTTGAAAAGTCTAAAGAGAATGTAGAAGGTAAACAAATGAATAGTAATATCAGTACACAAGGCACTTTAAAGACAAGTAAGGGGGCAATTACAAATCCTTATAATAAAATATCATCACATACAACCTTAAAACCGCAGCCTGAAGAAGTTCCAAACAAAAATAAGACTTCCCCAGATGTGTCGCCAGAGAGATTTATGTATAATGTGGACAAAGAACTCAAAAATGAAACGAAACCATCCAAAACACCATATGCACCTGACATAGACGAGGAAACAATTTGTAAAGCGTATGCAGATTTGCAATCACAACAAAATAAAGTAAGGAGAAAAAGCACATTAAAAAGTAGAGGTGGATTTGCTCGAAACAGCTTAATAAGTATTAGGAAAAAGCGACAATCGTTAATGGACAATGTAGTTCCTGAGATTCTTTTAAAGTTGGAGAATATTGAGGATAAACTAAAGGAATTGGAAAGAATTTATGAGGACGGACGGGAAAACATCACTAACATTGTAGGTATCTCGTGCAACAGTGTTAAAAGTAAAAGCACATTGTCTATGGACGTGAAATCTCTGAGCAAAAGTAGTTCTTCCTTAAAACCCTCTATGAAGCAGTGTTACACAATCCAGCCGATACTTATAAAATCTAATGGTGAAGAAATATTTATCAATGCTCCAAAAAGTGTCTCTGTCGTTAAAAAAAATAGAAGTACCAGCAAACAAGGAAGTAAACAGCTTGTGTTACCCAGCACTCAAATCCTCCATACTCAAAAGTCTACACATTTGACCCAACCAAAGGAAGAGAAGAGTAACAACTCGAATGCAGAACAGAAGACACCAACGAGTGAACTCAACAAAACAAAAGAACTTGATATGTGGAAAAAGATTTCTGAAGAGTTGAAATTGAAATAAGAACAATAAACAATAATAATAATCAAAGTAAATCGTTTAATAGTATAAGCAACAAGTAGGTTTATGGTGGATGCAAGATAGCACAGGATTTTGTGCGAATACCGTTGTAAAACCTTCCCGGGTGAGTTGCGTACAAAACTTTTCGCCACACGACCAGTAACAAATTTACAGGGTACGTATAACACTATTCATACTGATGTTTTTTAAAATGTTTTTGATATATTAAAAAAATGTTATATGTCGTTTCTATAGGGACAGATCAATGTATCTGCCAGACCTTATACCTAACCTTAGACCTTATTGGAATCTGTCACCGTGTGCCTATAACCAATGCAGAAGCACGTTGTCGTCATCATTAGACTGTGCTACCAATAGGCCCCTGTTGAGCGCAAGTACCAGTACCTTACCAAATCTGGTGGTATTGAGAATTTCCTACAGATATTCACACTTGTTCATTAGTTCTTATTGGCACTGTTCTAATTTGTCTTGTTAGGTAAGTAGGTAGTTGACTATGCACCTGAGGCAGAGGTGATGTGGGTTTGTGCACCTGTCTTACTATAGCAATTTGTTTGTAATGTTGATTCTTGCACTGTCACTGTATCGGCTCAACTCTTGCTGGGCTTGAAATGTTCCATGCACAGTCCAGAAGACCCATGGGGACAGGCAGAGTTCAATGTTTGAGGTCACTAACCTCTTTTTTTAATAACAAAATTTAGTGAGTTGAATTATTGATTCACTGTACCACGAATGCTGCAGAGAAGGTAACAAAAACAACATTTGCATAGCTGATATTTTATTCTGATTCTCATTTCACTTACTCTAAAAAGGCAGTCTAGACTAGCAAACTACTTATAAAAATTCCAAAAGAATTGCAAGGCTGTTAAAACATATTTAAATCTCAAGTGCTATTCCTGATTTAACTATTAAAATTATTTCATAAAAAGCGAAAGTCGTAAAGATCTGATGAGATTCATGAAAGGTGATGCTTGACTGGAGCCACCCAGTAGATGAGGGCAGGTATGGACTTGCTGAGGAGGGGGCAGAGGAAGGCTTGGTGAACGATGGCGTACATTCTGTAGAATGGACCAGAGAACGGGTCCTTTACTGCCGGGCACAACATGTGGTTGAGATTCACCTGCGCTGGCTGCAAACAAGGTTTCAAGTTAAATTTTGTGTGATGGTTAGTTTATCAGTTATCTTATTCAAAAGATGATTGATGACATTATCCATCATGATAGCAAAGTTTTTCACAACATTTCGTAAACTGGAATCTGATGCTGAGGTTAGAAAGACCTATATATAATTAAGAACATGGACAATAATCCAAAGCCCGATGCTCAAGGGCAGATAGGACCAGTTTCGAACAAGTAAAAAAGCTACAATTTTTTTTTACTAAACCTTTTGACCTGTAGGTGAGCTATACAGCTTTTTGAAGTTGATGGAACATACAACTTCAATGCCTTTTTTCCATGTTTTTCTATATTGAATGACACACCATTTTGTGTACAACAGCTGATAAAAACACTTCTCTTCACTTAATATTGTGAAGGTGTGACTGGTAACTATGAGTATTGTTTACACATGCCACTGCAAGTGACACACAATTCCAAATGGTGCTCCTCTGTCTAGTCCTTAGTGAATGTTGGAACAAATATTACTGGCATCAACAGAAAGGCACGCCATTTCACATATCTACTGAAGTGGCATGTCACTTGAAAGTTTACAAGCTCCATTTCTCCCACGAAAGTCAGTAAAAGTGCACCCTCCCCTTCTACATGCTGATGTAAACCTAGCTCAAGCAATTGGTTTAGGCAAAGTCACACAAGGGTAACCAGTGAAAAATTTATATTCATGCTAACTGTTATGTCCACTTCAAGCAGTTTGTTGGAAATCATCACAATTATTTACTGTTCTCTGTAAAGAAACACTGATTAAATTGCGAGGGAAAATAGCGAATAAATTAATACCATTGATCTTACGATCGTACTCAAGTACGCAACTAGAATCATGAATATTTGTAACCTATGATTGGAACAAATTAAAAATAAAACTTTGGAAAGTGTGTCATTTCATATTATCACCAGAGTGATTTAGATTTAGATATAAAACACTCACGATAGCCAGGGCTTGCAGCAAGATAAAGTGATAGATCAACAGAATCACATAGGAGATGACGGCCCAGCTCATGTCACTCCATCTTTCAACTTCATAAACACCTAAAACACAAGTTGATCTACAGTAGTCACTTTTCACTTTAAGCCAAAACAGCAAATCTGAATCAAACTTTGGGCAAAGGGAGTGGCTTTGATATTAGTAAGGAATTATTATTTGTTTACCCTACTTTGCATGTTTTTAAGACTTTGAATTAAGCCACTTGAAAAAATCTTAAGTCAAGTGAATTTAAGAAGATGAAAAAATACTGCGGGATTTTAAAATACATAGCCTACAACTTAACATTTTATTGAGAATTTGAATACAAACATTGCATCGGATTCTTGAGTTTCAAAGGCAGGTTATAGAGGCTTGCGCTAGGACTACAGTACATAGAAAGAAGCAATTGCTTAGTGCTACAACATACTAACAGGAATACAACATATTTGGCTGAAATCATCTCATAATCACTTGTAAAAACAGTTTGAATCTCCAACATAGTTTAAAAGACTAGCTAGTCTAAATCCAAGAACTATTCTCATTTGTAGGCCTAAAATGCTACAATGCAAAGCAGATGTGATTGAACTGGTACACAGAGGAGAGGAATATAGAACAGAAAATACTATAGTAAGCTTAATTAGAGAAAACAGAAAATATTAAACACTACTTCAAAATTACTTCTGATGAGGATAGACACATTGAAAAAGCCTAACCAGCTGCAAGACTTAAGAAGGAATAAATCCGTGCAAATACAAATTAGGCCTATATAAAGTTTTCTAAGTCAAATTTAGTTGAAGCGTTTTACTAAATGTGCAACAACACTTATCGACAAAACCTAGTAGGCCTAATAATGCAAAAGGAAAAAAAGGGGAAAGATAATGGGTGACCTGTACCACATACCTCCCAGTTGTAACAAATATATCGGAATTATCAACATCATTGTATGTTGAATCCAATAAATCCATGTCTCAAATGGCAGCTAAATACAAACAGATTTTGCATCAAGGAAAATGATTACTCAAGTTAGTGGCAGGCAGCTGATGATTGTAAAAGCACTTTGAGCCAAACTTAGGCTATCCATACATTAAATAAAGTTTCTTTTTTAGTTATTTTTTGCAACTTTGATAAATTAATTAATTTTTTTTATTAATTTGATATTTGTGATCTCCCTAGTGCCCTAAATCCGCCCTAAATCTACAAGA